CTCAAGCCCGAAGTAAAGTACCTCGGTCACAAGATTGGGCGGCAAGGGATAGCGTGCCAGGAGAGGAGGATAGGCAACGTTCTCAATGACCCCGCCCCTACTTGAAGGAAGGAACTGCAGAGCTTCCTAGGAGCTGTTGGGTACCTACGACCCTTCATCCCGCGACCCTTCGCCGAGTACACTGCCCCACTGTTCGAGTTGCTCAAGAAGGGCAGGCTGTTCGTCTGGTCGGACGCTCGAGGAGAGGCATTCATGCAGCTGAAGCAGGCGGTAGCCGGTGCGTCGTTGCGCCATAAGCCTGCTCCTGGATCATCGAAACAGATGGCATTGGCATTGGCGCGGTGTTGAAGCAGGTGCAAGAGGGTAGAGAGGTCCCGTTAGAGTTCGCGTCTAAGAAGTTCACCGACGCGGAGAGAAAGTGGGATACGAGAGAGAGAGCTCTTCGCCGTCAAGTGGGCTGTAGAGAAGTGGTGCGACTACGTAGCGCTCCATCACTTCACCGTACGCACAGATCACGCCAACCTACGCTAGCTTGTGGGAGTAGACAAAGGGTTGACACTTCAGAGTTCATGTCGGGAGAGAAGAATAACATGGCGGACTGGTTGTCGCGGTACGCAGCGGAAGATGAAGAGTGCGACGCAGAGATCGAGGCAATGGCTTTAGGCGGTCGAGTGATAGGCCATGTGAGCCAACTGCTGGGGAGGCATCAGGTGTCGGAAGAGGACTTTATGAGAGAGTGCCAGCAGCTGGAGCCGCAAGGAGTGCCTGGAGTGAAGAAGGACGGCAAGTGGTGGCGGCACGTCATGACTGGCAAAGTGTACGTCCCGGAGCGACTGACAGCGAAAGTGGTACTTCCTCGGCGTTCCTCTTTACCTCCAGACAGCACGTTGCTTGGTCGGTGTGTGAAGTCGGTGCTGTGTCCGTCAGCCGAAGAGCTGCATGTTACGTTACCCCGTCGTCTACATCGATTTGTCCGTCTGGCAGCTCGCAGAGGAACGACAGCCGGCATTGGAGCGAACGTGTTGAAGGATTGACTGGAGTGTTCTATCTGACTGACCAGGACGCTGCTATGAGGGCGTTCGTGGAGCTGAGTAGGGGACAGACGACGTTCCAGGGGAGAGTGACCGATCGAGGCGTGACCGATCGAGTGCGTGCGGCGCAGAAGTTCATCAACGAGGAGATTCAGGCAGACGATCGACGGAGACAGAAGCGGGGCGACGATGTGATGCAGGTCGAGGCGCAGCAGGCGCGGACCCGCACGTCGGTCCTGTGCAGTCGAACGGAAGAGTGGCCGTCGGCAATCCGTTGGTCGGTGACGACGGCGATGTTGGGCCGTCAGTGAATGCGTTGGCCAAGGGAATGAGCTCGGATTTTTGTTGAAGGCCCTCGTCAAGGGGGTCGAGTTGGAATTTTACAGGGGTACAGGCGCAGGCCTGAGTATCTTGAGAAGGGATGATTGTGAGAAGGCAGGGGTCGCGTTGTCACCGGTGACTGAGGAGATTGGTACGGATCGCTTGTTGGTGACGGAACCTGCGGAGGTCGAGATCAATGGCCGGAAAAAGGCAGTGCGTTTCGTCGTACATGATCAACCCCGGATCCCCGACCTCTTAGGGGCGGGAGAGATGGCGCATTTCCTAGCGCCAGGGGGACTTGGGGCCGAGGCATTGATCCTGGCTGCCAAGCGCGGAGAAGTGGACAGACTGAGGCTAGCCGGAAAGTATAACGAAAGCCCGAAGCTAGAGGAAGCTGTAGAACGCAACTTCGACAGACGGAAGCGTCTCTTTGAGGAAGAGACGGGGCACATGAGTGAGACACTACGCACGAAGTTGTGGAGCTTGCTGGTAAGCTATAGAGACAATTGGGAGTCGCCGCGCAGGCTCGGTACGAGGCTCGGTACGAGGCTCGGTTCACAGTAAGAGGGCGGTCCTACAAGGCAAGGATGAGGCACTCGGAACCAGAGTTACAGGAAGAGTTGGAGGTGCAGGTGAAGAAGCAGTTGGAGCTGGGAGTAATCCGGTCGTCCAAGAGCGAGTGGGCCGCAGCACCGCACTTCGTAAAGAAGAAGACGGGAGAGTGGCGATGTGTTCTGGACTATCAGCGCTTGAACGAGTCAATGGTTGCGGACTCCTATCCGATTCCGAGGATCTGGAATCACTTAAGGACTGCGGCGAGCCATCGTATTTGCTGTACGCTTGACATGTTGTAAGGGTTCTGGAATGTACCCATCGCTGAGGAGAGTAAGGATCTTACTGCGTTCGTCACGGCGTTTGGGCTTTTTGAGTTTAATGTGATACCTTTCGGGATCAAGAACTCACCGGCCGAGTTTCAGCGCGCTATGGACGCGTCTTTCGAGGAGGTGCTGGACAGTAGCACGCTCTGTTACATTGACGATATTGTCGTAGCGGTGGACGACGAAGCCGGGATGCTAGAGAGGATAGTAAAGATGTTTTCCTGGGCGATGAGCCGGGGTTAAACCAGTCTGCGACGAAGTGAGTGGAGCCAAGTCTGCTGCTTGCTGCCACGTAGCGAGTTCCCGTGGGACTGACGTCCGTCTTAAGGGTATTGTGATTTTCGGCGAATCCGGCGAGAAGTTGTGCCGCCGGCCGCATGCCAGTAAGGAGGCCGACTGATGACGAAGAGAGTGCCGAACACTCTCAAAGGCGCGGTTGACGACGATGTCAAATGCGGAGTGGAGATGTCTTGGCTGTCGACCCGCAATGTCTGCCCGTAGGATGTTACGTTGTGCAGGCGGGAGGCCGCGTCTATTACCTGATGGGGCGGTCAGTGATCATGAGCATGAGCTAAGAGAGCGCGACAGAGAGAGAGCCCACAGAATCACAAGGCACGAGAAGTGATAGGATCCAGCACTCGGCTCTTCGAGCAGAGCACATGGAAGACGCGCACCGAGAGCGGCTCTGGAAGCTTCTTGAGCAATTCAAGGATGCGTCGGAAGACGCCAAGGTCCGCGGGCCAAGTACGAAGCAAGGTCGGTGGGCTCCTTCGCCGTCGACTACTGCCCTGCATGTTCCGCCCAGTCAACCCTTCGCAACCAGTCCTTGAGACTCAGACGCCTCAGGGGCGACATGACGGGTTAGCGCATCAGTTATTCTACTTGGAAAAAAATTGTAGAAAATGAAAACGGTGGGGTGCTGCACACAGAGCGGCGTTAAGGGGGCGGCGCTAGTGGCGTGGCTGATGGATTATGAGGGAATGCAGCCACCGACTGAAGACTGTGACGTTAGGCTTTTGACACTTGCTGATCGAACAAGACGGGCTTGTGTTCAGTTTCTCGTTGCGGCGCCCAAGGAGGCGATGAGGAAGTTAATTGAAGCAAGTAAGTATGCCGCTCCTAATGACGAAGAAGGCCTCTTGAATGAAGATGAAAGATTCCACTGGCTGGATGCATGTTCCAGGATCTTCTTGTACCGTCCCGACGGTCACATCAACGCTGTGGGTGAAGAGCAGCAATGCGAGAGCTCAGAGAGTATCTGCAGGATGTGGACCCACAGAACGAGTTCTTCGAAGTTTCGGACCGGATTTGTCAGGAGAGCGTTGGTCGGACAATGCTGGAGTTGCGGAAGATACTTAAGAAGACGCGTGGTCTCGACAGCGAGTCACTGGAAGTGACTGACTGTAGTCCTCTGACACGCGCGCAGGTCGACGAACTGCGCGGAAGCCTGTCGAAAGAATGGCTATCGATGCTGGACAAACTATGCGTCCAGAGTGGGGGCTTGATTGCCGAAACAAGCCCCGGTGGCAAGTCGATGGGCTGTATCCTGAATCGATGTTGCGCGGCTGTTCTTACAGGTGCTATTATAGTAGGCGGGTTAGCTGCATTGATGCTGTGCCGTCGGGCGGGTTCCGAAGCGTCAGGCGCTCCCCTACAGACCCGGGGGGAAGTGCTGGGTGAGGCTTTGGGTTTAAATGCCGCGATCACCATGACCGATAATAAGACTGCAAGCAGTCTGAGCTTGTCCGGTCTCGTCTCAAAGGTCATCGAGAACACGACGAACCTAATTTACGATACCAGCACAAGCGCACATTATAACGCGACCAGCGTGAGCAGCATCGCCGGTAACTTTAGCACCGGAGTCGATGTGACCACAACGACTGAAGCTTTGCAGAAGACGACCAAGGGCGATGGCACCATCACGCCGAGTGAATCGAGCCCTTTTCACATGGCCGCCTCGAGCGATTCGAGCCTTTTGGACCTCGTCTCAAGGGTTGCCTCCAAAGCGTCGGAGCGAATTTTCGAGAATCCTTCGACCCCCCGCTATGATGCACCTACCGGGAATGCCGCCTTCGATGACCTGTCCACCGAAATCGCTGTGAGCATAACTACGGAAGCGTTGCTGAATGGTACGATGATCGGCGATGGAAGCACGCGCATGGAAGCTCCGTTTTCGAAGAATGCTTCTGGTGTGCCTCGTTCAACCGGGGCCCATTATACCCCCTTTAGGTCCGACATCTTCCCGCATCGTCAGGATCCAAGAAAAGGACCGGACACCTCCACGACTGTGGCATCTCGTGTGCGTCCGTTGAGAACGCGCAGGAAGCGCCCTGTCTCGAACAAGACTTCTGATGTGCCTGGCTCCGCCCCCGTTCATTACACCCCCTTTGAGCCCGCAGTCTTCCGGCAACATGATCGGGATCCAAGACAATGGTCGGAGACCTCCATGACTATGGCTTCTCGTATGCCTGGTTCCACCGCCGCTTATTACACCCCCTCTAAGCCCGGAGCCTTCCGGCAACATGATCGGGATCCAAGACAAGGCTTGTCTATAGAGTTGATCAACAAGTTCAGTCGGTTCAAAAAGACGATGGCGCTGGCCGAATTGGATCAGCTCTGGACCGTGTGTCCATCCACGTGTCACAAAGTGGTCAAGCCTGGATTTGACCGGTATCCGTGTGATGGCGGCAGTGGAGTAATGCGTTGTCGTGGTACAACTCTCCAAGGCGACTCCGCCTGCTATCGTTTCGGCGGTCCATGGGGATACGACTTCTTTGCAGTCAGGAACGCGATTACAACTTATCTGGGTAGAGGAAAATGCAAGGTGTCGTGTGATGGCCCAGAGCAAGGCTTCCGCAATTTGTGGGAGCAGACCGAGAAGAATTTACCGGGGATTCCTGGCTACCCTGAAGGGAATTTCCTGAAGTATACAGCCGAACCTTCTGTTGCGAACATGAGTGATTTCAAAGTGATGCTGGACACAAGTTATCCTATCACACGCGAGTGCTCGGGGTGGTGTGTCCGTTGTCCTGGCCTTGTCAAAAACTGTTTATGTGCCTTCACAAAAATCAGTTGTCTTGCCACGGCTCGTAGGGACGGCTCACCACAGCGGATTGATCTGGTTGGATATAAGACGAGGACACATGACCTAATTAATCTCCTAACTCTTTTCAACACCAAGGATGAAGATCTCTATAACGCCCATAATTGCAAGGTGGAATGCCGCAAAATGCCCCCGGATATTGACGCAGCTTCTGAAGCAGGAGTGGAGATGCAATTTATCGAGACCGAGCCTGCAGATGATGGCTCTCCGTTGAAAGAGACGCTGAGCAGAAGGGAGTTGGCCGCACTCCAGGCAGAGGGATGCTCAGTGCTAACGAATGGATGGAAACGTGTAGAAAGCATCGGCGAAGTTCCATGTCCGGGTAACGATGGACTGCTAAAATGTTGGTATTCAAGTTTTGCAACGCGCGGACTATGTAATCGGAATGGCATGTTGGGCCTGTGCGTACCTTTCGAACCCAGTTGCCATCGGTTTGGTCCTCAATGGGCGGATGCCTATGCGGTCCTGGATGCGGGTAAACGATATCTTCCTGGTTTGAAACATTGTAGTGTGTTCTGCTATCCAAACGAAATCACCTCTAATCGTTTGTGGGAGGAAGCCCGTACCTATTTGCGCCACGCACCTGGTTACGAGAGACTGTGGCCGTCATACAATGAATTATCCGAATTGCCACACTTCCGAGATGCTATCACCGTTCAGCATCCCACCCAGAAACGGGACGTGCTAGATTGTGATCCAGATAACTGCACCGTTACTAGCGACCGGGTCTGTCGTATAGCGCGTGTCAGCTGCGAAATCGAACAGAGCGGGAGTCAAGAGAGCCGGTCGGCGGAATCCATCAAGTTCAACACGCGCCTACAGGACGCATTTAGAACGCTATCTATCCCCAATGCTAATGCCAAGGACAACAAACGCTTCAAGAACAAAAAATGCACCTTCGAGTGCTACGGCGAACTGTGGCCGTGTTACCAACTCAGACCATCGAAAAAGAAAAGGCCCCCACGCGGAGGTATGTTTTTTCGATGTTTCGGACAGCATTCGAATCGGGAGCTGAATTGTTTATGATAGTGAGCTGGAGGCTATGATGTATGCACGCCCGTCCCGGTTGCCTCTATTGGTGGCGTCTCGGTTTTGTCTTCCTCTACATGGCTGCTGTTGAGATTAGTGTTTGAAAAATCGGCGGATCTCAACGACGGATCTCAACGACGGATCTTAGGTGTCTGGGTTTACTTACGATCTGAGCTGTCAAAGTTTGCGATCGGAGAACGCCGGCCGAGGCGAGTGGCTGGGTCGGGAAAAACGTGTTCGCAGGAATGGCGAGTAGAAATCGGGGCGATTGCCGAGGTGTGACGTCGTTTATTCTTCGTGCTAATGTCGACAGCTTATTATGGTTTTGGGGGGCTTTTGCATTCCCGAAAGTATCGCGCTCATCAAGACACAGAACTCGACAAAATCATCTGCACCCCCGTTATAACCATTCCGGAAGCTCGTGACCTATCTACGCCGGCCGCTGAGTGTATGGAAGCGCTCGGTTTTACAGAAAGGGCTGTAGAGGTCGTTGCAGAGGGCAGGATGGCTAGGGTGACCATAGGAGTCACAACATCTTCACGGCACATTGGAAGTCATCTACACGCAGGTGGTGAATGGTTTGATTAGTGGTTTGGGGGGCAATGTAGAAGCGCATCTGAATCGATCTGGGAACGATGTCTGGTGTCAGGTGCAAAGGTATGGGATGGATCGCGGTGCTTCCCTAGTCCTGTATCCCAATTCTACCAATAATCAACGCAGCACCATCGTAAGTACCAATAAGGGGAGCATCTTTGGAGGAAAGGCCCACTTTCAGCGGGCGAGTAGTTACTTCGCGTGGAAAGAACGAAAAAGATTAACGAAGACAATGGCGGCAAGGAGAGCCGTGTGGAGCTACGTTGCGAGGCCGTGGTAGTGTCGCAGGCACACACAATCACAAACTCTCCAAGAGGACATAACAAGGATGACCCACCAATCCCTCAGGCCTCCATGAACCACATCTCCGGGTCAGACTGGTCTGTCGTAGGCGCGTATCAGAAACTAAAGTGGCACAAGCAACCTCACTGGAGCACGACACAGAGAAACTATTCATCCCGCGAGTGATGAACAGCCAGACACTTTATCTGATGGGGTTTTTTCAAAAAGAAATGAAAACGGTGGGGTGTTGCAGAACGAGAAGTGTTAAGGGGGCGGTGGTAGTGGCGTGGCTGATGGATGCTGAGGGGAGGCAGCCACCGACTGAAGACTGTGACGTTAAGCTGTTGACACTTGCTGATCGAACAAGACGGGCTCGTGTTCAGTTTCTCGTTGCGGCGCCCAAGGAGGCCATGAGGAAGTTAATTGAAGCAGCCGAGTATACTGCTCCTAATGACGAAGATGGACTCTTGAATGAAGACGGAAGATTCCAGTGGCTGGGTGAGTGCTCCAGGATCGTATTGTACCGTCCCGACGGTCACATCAACACCGTGGGTGAAGAGCTAGCAATGCGAGAGCTCAGT